TCGGAGGCAAAATGAGCAAGAACGCTCATTTGTACATCATTCTAGAGAGAAATAAATGGCCTTTTTAGAAAGTGAACCATCGATAAGGAAATGTTAGCAGTTTTCTCAAAAAATGCTTAAATTCAAGAAGTTTTAGATTTGCGTGGTTTTTTTTTTGAGTTGCAAAATCCACTTGAACATGACGCTGCTATTTTCAAAGTTTCTCAAGAACCATTCGAGTCACAGAATTCGTTTTGGCATCGTTGGATAGAGAATTGAAAAGTCGATTCAGTCGTAACAACGTGAGTAAGGAAATTTGAGTAGTTTTAACCCAGAAAGCGAAATATGAATATCAAACACTTAGGTTCAAGATTATACCAAAATTTCATGTTTTTCGTCCCGTTTTTCATTACACCGTATTAAAGTTGGTGATTGCACAGCATTATCTGGCTGAAAACGAACCAACTAAATTGATTTATAATTACAAGTCCTCATTTCCTAATTATCATAAATGTGAGCACGATTAAGTATTATATAAAACCTGCAATTTGTTTTTTGCTGGCCAATTAAGGTGGATTTAATTGGCTGCTTACCTTAAATTTGAAAAAATCCTGGGGACCGATGGAGGCATTGTCATCAGTTTGCAGGACCAAAAAAGTTATCAAGTAGACGGTCATACTGCAGCAAACTGAGGCAGTGTATCTGAGAAATAAACGGCATTTAAAAGAATTAATAAAACTTAGAACAAGCTAATCCGGCACCTGATGGCAGTTAGATCTGAGCTGTGACTGTGATTCCTGGATATTTCCGGGATTAAAGATAAATGGGCTATTTGCACAACAGCCCAACCAACTTGAAATAGCGTGATGCTCAAAATATAGTAAACTAATGCTGTCGTTGTTAGTTCAACCGGTTTCATTGAAAAAATCAACGAAAATCCCACAGCTACAGCCAAACTACCTGAAACAGAAACATTGGAATGTTCCAAATGGGTTCTTTGAAGCGTTCTGGCACCTCCAAAATGCCAAGACCTTCGCTCTCCCGTACGATCGATGGCCCAACCAACCAAAGGGGTTGCTACAGAGTCAACAACCTGTCCTAGAAAAAATTGTGCAGAATAAATGTAACATATTAAGTGCAGTATAGAAATGCAGATTTATGCTCTTACCGATCATCAGCAAGGTTCCAGCAGTGGTACTTTCTATATTTAGCACAACGTGAAGGTAAAATAATGTATAAGAAAACCACATGGCGGCGCAAAGGTCGTTAAACACATGACCCAAACCGAAGCTGAGTTTTTGAACGAAAGAACACGTCGGGATGAATGGCTCCTCAATGTCCATTTTATCAAGAATTTACCTGAAAATTGCATTTAAATTGGCTATTTTTGCGTAGGATTTAGAGAGCTAGAGAAGGGTTTTTAGAGGAATGAGTGTAAATGGAAAATACACTACTGTGAGCAATGTGAACACATCCAAAGTTGTCTCTGTGTGGAATTTGGCGATTTGGAATCTGTTTGAAGCGTTATCGAGCCTCGTTTTTTTCTATTAGACAATGTTTTGATAAAAATTAAGTATCTTAAAGACATTTTCTCAGGGTTGGCAAATGAGAAAATGCAAAAGTTTGGAATGTTTCGCATGCTGCGAGTTGGACAAAAAAAGATTTTTTGAACCTCAACACCAGAAACTTAAAGGTAAACCAAATAACTCGAAATAGTTTTTGAATTTTACTGGGTGGTCTCATAAAATATGCTTTTGGGTCTTGGAGCGCTAACTTTTCCCCTCAGTTGAAGCTGAAACTTCATAGACAACTTAAGTCAAAAAATCGACTGTACAAAAATTACCCCAATTACAATTCCCCCAAAATCTGTGATTCTGGAAGATTTTCAACTAAGTGAAGTTTTCGTCTGCGGCTGCAATGTTTTAGCTTCAACATGAGCCATAGATTTCCCTTATCGGTTCACAAGATAAAAAATGATCACTGCAATACCAAAAAGTTGAGTTTCCTCAACAATTTTTTCAAAAACATGCACTAACCGAAGAAAAGTTTCAATAAATAACGCTTCAAACAGAAATAGAATCTCTAGCAGCAGTCGCAATTTATCCAGTTTCAAAGTGGGCCAAAATTTGTCAGTTTAGGTTTTTAAAGTAAAAAATCTAGTTGAATATTTTGTTTTTGTTTTAATATGTTCCAGCTTAAAGCAGGGTAAAACTGGGAAAACCCTTAGAACATTAAAAATCATACTTATTTAGCCAAGTGTAGATAATTTTTGGGAATTTTTTAGTAACATGAGGAAATAGATTGCAAAAAGTTAGAAAAAATAATGAATTAAAATTTTTCAGTTCCACTTTTCATTTGCATCAGAATGTTGCAATTTTCCTTCATGAATTGAATTTCATTATTATTCAGGGGCTTAAATAATTTTTGAGAAATTGAGTAGTACAAAAACTGAGTTTTTGAACTAGAGAACAAGTTGGGTTAAACCTCAATGTTCATTTTTCACATAAATTTAGCTGAAGCTGAAGCTGATTCAGAAAGGTTGAAAAATATTTTTGAGAAATAAGTGAAAGTGGGTTTTTATAAAGAAGAAAACTACTTGATTCTCCAATATTTTTTCAATATGTTCCTGTTTAAAGCAGAGTAAATCTAAGAAATACACATGAAAAATCAAACTTATTTAGCCAAGTGAAGCTTATTGTTTTGAAATTGTGAAAAATAAAAAAATAAACTGAAAAAGTCAGGAAACTTAATGAACCAAAATAGTTTCCAGTCCACTTTTAATTTGCATCAGAATTTTGCAATATTTTTAAGTAATTGCGAAGCACGGAAGATTTACTTGAGTTCCTGAGTTTAAAACTGTTTAATTTTTCTTTTTATGCAGCAGGTTTGCATTTTTTGAGCACAAATCTAACACGCTTTATATAATCTAAACTTTCAGCGAAAAATAGCATCTGCACCATTTTCTCTTTTCAAATAAAGAATGGAAGAAAAAATCGCCAAACGCAAACAGAAACAAAAGTTTCAAAAATAAATCAACGGTAATTTAAAAAAATCAACCTAAGACGAAAATCCAGACAACTTACCAAAAACTCCGATTGAAAACCTTTCTAAAAACCATCGCTTTTTATCAAAATTAAATTGTATGTCCAGAACAAAGTGAATGAAATGAACATTTGCACAGTCACTAGCAACCATTGCCCATAGTAAATTGAATAGTTTCATAAGGTTTCCCCCTAGCTTGGCCTAATATCATATTTCCACTGCATTTTTGCAGCTCGAACTTCCACCTATACTGGGTGAAACACATAAGTTTGGCCAACACATTTTTCTATTGTTTCTAATCGGTTGAATTATTCTGAGCTAACACAAGGTACGTAAATACTAACAAATTATCAGAATATTTAAAAATTTATTTAAAAAGCTATTGATCAAAAAAATTAAATGTTTAATCGACTTTAGCAAACGCTCTGTACAATGTCTTTTCCTGTCGTCTCTTAGGTAGGCTAGATCAGATTGGTAGCTTTGTGAAAAGAGAAAGGAGCAATAACTTCAGTTGAGAAATTCTGCCTACCAGTTTGTATTAAGCACAGTCCGGACACTTATTTTGCCTATCTCCGCTTTAAAGTTATAAAAAAATAAACAATTGCAAGGAATAAAACTTTGTTAAAAAGGAAAATAAAACAGCTGCCGATAGATAATTATATTGCATCATCCAGAAAGTTCATTAGCTTTTCTTTTTTCATCATTAACAGGCCAATTAAGCGAACGATTTTTAAATATCTGCTTCGTTAATGTGTTTACATGCTTATAAATAAATATAAATGAAGCAGCCGCAAATTGTATGTGAAGCAAACCTTAGCTGCTGAAATGTAATTGGATCACTTTTTTTCTACATGATTGACGTTATTATTTTTTATTAATAAAATATTGCAGGGAAAATAAATCAGAACCTTTCTTCCATGTGAATATTAGTAAATCTTGAAAACCTGCTTAATATACAGGGTGAGCCGTCGATGTTGTTAGTGAATGCAATTTATTTTCTTAAAGTCCGCAGGATTCATTTAGTAGTTAGATACGAAATCAATTAATATATTTTTAATAAAGCAGCAAATCCACGTGCTGGCAGCACTGTTCCAGCTTATCGATTGCCTGATATTCCACAAAACAACGTCGCAATCCTGAAACAGGAATCGTCCTCCGTCTTTGAATACGAAGAGCAGGATTGGATTGCAAACTCGTTTTTCCTGCAGCGATTCGCGTTTTATTCGCATTTGAATCCGATGGTCTTTCAAACTTGATATGGCAAGTTTAGTTGTTCGCTGCTGAAGAGAAGAGAACGGTTGTCTTCGATTTGCTCGCGAAATATTGCAGGCTGGTGACCGGGTTTCGGACACACTTTAGCTGGAATGCTGATCTAAGCTTGAGGTTAGTTTAATTGGAATTTATTTGCCTTTTCAAAATCTGTTTTAATAGATATTTTCAAAGTTTTTGTTTCAAGGTATAAAACTGGTAAAGCTAAAGCTTTTTTCAAATTTTGATATCAACTGTTTTTTCGACTGCATAGCAAAAGTCTGATAGCAAAAGTCTTTTCGACTGTATATGGCAAGAAACAAAGCAATTTATTTTTTTAAATGTATAACAAACTAAAAATCACGCAGCATCTCCCAGATGAAATAGTTGCATTCCTAACCGAACAAAATGCATAATACAGACGTGACTAAGATTTTGTGATAAAACACGTACTGCTTTATTATAGGAGGTATGATTCAAATTTGTGAATATGACAAATTATATACAATACAAAATATATAAAGTTATTGTGTATGAGAAAATTCAATCTATCGAAACGAAATCAGCTACTTTAGAGGCAATCAATTAAAAATAGCAAGTTATGTCCGTTTGCGGCTTTGAGGGGAAGAAATAAGCCTTCTTTACTTCACAGTTGGTTTAACTGTTAAGGACAATTTCTACAAAATATCAAAATTCAAATAATTCAATTGACCCAAATAATTTTTTTGCGAAAACCAGAACTTTTTACTTGAATTAGTTACATTTGAAACGTTTTTTTTGCGACAAATTCTATTTAATAAAATACGGAAATGAAGCTCATTTCTTCCTCTAAAAGTGGAAAGAGGACGCGATCTCTTACAGTTTTTGAGAAATCCACTTTTAAATTAATAGAGTGTTTGAAAGCTTTCGCCATTTCTTTGGGCGATAATATGAATACAAAATTCAACTTATTGAAAGTATAAATATTTTCAATTATTTCTTAAATATATCTAATAAATAAATAAATTAAATTAATTTAAAAATACATTCTAAAATTCATAATTTGGTTGAAGATACGATACTGGAATTGCAGCTTGAAAAGTGTGGTTTCTAATAAATTTAATGAAAAAATCTATAGTAAAAGCGGACTTGAAGCATGTTTTCTGACGGAAATTATCTTTAAATGTTTATTTTAAAATTACATTGTTACTTATTTATAAAAAAATTATAAAATCCTTCCAATCATAATCTTATCTGCAAAATGAAAATCAAATTATTTAAATCTCATAATTGTAAACGTGTATGTTTATGAAACAAGTAGTGGCTAGAACAATTGACAAAATTGTCAGAGTAAATGTAAAATCAATCTTTTACGGTGATTTACGTATAAAATATGAGGCTAACACTCTTTAATATACGCAAAATAACACACTAGTTGTATCAGTCTTGCTTAACTTATAAATTCATTTTTTATTCCCATTCCATTACTGTTTTAACCCTCAATTAATATTTGATCTACGCTCTTTTAAAACTTATCTTCAAAAATTACATCAATGTTGAATCACCCTGTATAGTAACTAATCGCGATGGCCGATTATGATTTAAGCTAATGAGGAAACTACAATTAATTGAAAAACTGTAAAGCTGAAGTTCAAAAAATTAAACACAGAACTAAATAAATAAAGCAACATTTTCACGAGAATCGAATAATCAAATAACCAGAATTTATGTTGAACTTTATCAAGATTTTCTGCCATTTTTAACTTTCGTCGTTCGATTATACAAATTTCTACTAATTTCACATTTTGTCAAAACGCGAAAATTTTATCGATGGTTTCGAAACACTAATCTATAGTTAAGTAGAAATTAACGATTTTCCTCGCAACATACTTGTTCACCTAATGGTCTTCTGCTAAATTTCAATCTAGCAATCAAATACTGGATTAAATAGGTTACGTGTACAATTTAATTGCTGTTAAAACTCAAATTAAATGTCCATTTAAGACTTATTGTCCTCAGAGTAGCATGTTTGGGTGCACGTACGTTAACTGAGATTTAATGAGCAATATGTTTGACGATTAGTTGAGGATTGTACAATCTGGGATTATCAGGAACTTTACCCTCGGCTGAAAATTTTCTAAGTGTTTTTTTCTACTAAACAACTAATAGGATCATTTCGACATTAAACCGTCAAATTTGTCACATTTTAACCACATATAACAAACAGAAATAATGTATGTTGCTTATTTACTGGACAAACATGCAATGTTTCTTCCATTGCACGCGAACACGAATGTGGCTTTTAATAACATGGAATTTGAAGTTTTCTCACAGTTTTTCTTGGTGCAATATGGCCTGGTCACGCCATTTTCTCATTTCCGGCGATTTGTATCGAAATCTACCCAAATCATTATAATGGATGTCGAAAATAACGATTTTCAATTTATACATGAAATTGCTTAACAATGGACACTAACTTTAGTTAAAATGAGGAAAAATGGTTTATTAATTGGTAAATAATTTATTGAAACTGATGAGTTTTTGTGGTGAACAATAAGTTCCTTCAGACGTTTCGCAATCATGAGATCTTCAGAGGTAATTCGTGTATAGCATTATTTCCGTGAGTTTTCCTGCTTTTTCTATATTGTTTACCCGATCAACATTTTTGGCTCATTGTTTGGCGCTGAATTTCCAGATGATTATTACTATACATTAATGAGCTCAACACATAAATTTCCAAAATTGAAGCAAGACAAAAAAACACCCAAGTTTTTCTCATATATTTCGTGCCTTTGCTTGCTCTCTATAACATGGATGCATGCAACTTCCTTGTTTCACTCATCGCTTCCCTTACAAAAAAACGTCTTTTTTTAAACAATTGCAGTTGGGAAACCGCTGTTTTGAGTCCGAAGTTAGAAAAAAATAATTTCAACCAGTGAAACAAGACGAAGACTATTCTTGGGCGTTAGTGAAGACAGAGTGTTTTCCTGCTCTTCCTACAACGTGCATTCGGGCAACTTCCTTGTCTCACTTATCGCATTGCCTACAAAATAAAAGAACTGGTTTAAAAATGTTGAACAAATGAATCAAAACATAATTACAAAATTGCGAATTTCGCTAAAAAATCGAAAAATTCACGAAATGTTTCGTTCCAAGCATTGTCAAAAACTATCCAATTAGCTAAATTAATTAATGCTGTCAACTGCAACCGATAAATTATATTTTTTGAGCAATTTAACTAGTGGCTTGTATTGTTTAGTTGAAAGCGAGTAATCGATCCCGGTCCAATTAAAATAATCAAATCAATTACCGCATTGGTTAGGCAAATTGGCAATTTTTGGTAATTTCAAAAAATCGCATAACGAAGATCATTAGGCCGACAAAATTTGATACTAATTTTCTTGTTATGAAACGTAAATAAATGGAATCCTCTTCAGTTAACTTGCCGTGCTTTGAGCTTAATTGATTATCAAAAGTTTCTTTAATTATCGGTTTTAATTAAACCTCTTTACGGGATTCTTAAAATCCCAATTGGAATTAAGGTTTTCTAGCTTTTCCATGCAGCAAGAAATGTAAAAAGTTTTAAAATCCTGCTTTGTACATGGAGTTTGATGAAAAGTTCTTATCGATTAGGATGAGAGCTGTATAATTATCAGTTTCCTCAAGATTAGAAACTGGAATTTTAAAATGGATTCAGAAACATTGAACCTGTTATGGCGTCTATTCAATAAAAAGTTAATTAATTATTGTTATGGAATTTACACTCAACCATCGCTTTATTATTTATATCGCACGTATGACGTCAAGATGTCGTTGTTGCTTTGTTGATTTTATTGGACAAATTTACATTTGTTCTGCATTTTTTTTTCATTGATTAATTAAATAAAGTGACAGACCCAAGACGATAAAAAATACTTTCATGTTTGACTTATTTAACAAATTGCCATGTTACATTGCAAATTTCCAATAATATTTCTCAGAATTTATAAAAAATGTCATTAGAGTTACAAATTAATTTATCTGAAGTTCAATTTTGTATTTTTTCGTTTCATTCATTATTCAGCCGTGTAGTTTTTTCAACTTTTTCTGTCTCTTATCGCTGATCAATTTTAAAGCAACAGTGAGAGTCTTAAAGCAACAATGCAACTTGCTCCATTATTTTTCATTCAAGTTTAATTTTGTAATTTTTGGATACATTCATTAATGAGTTTTAAAGTTTTTCCAGCTTTCTCTGCCTCTTATTGGTCCTCAATTTTATAGCAACTTTGTCAGCTATATAATATAGAGAATATTTCTTAGAATAAATGAAAAAAATGGCATTAGAATGGTGCAAATCAATTTTTTAAGCTTTCTTAATACATATTTCTCAGAATTTATCAAAAATGCCATTAGAATGTTACAAATTTGATTTTTTGAAGTTAAATTTTGTATTTTTTGGACTTTTTCTGTCTTACTGCTCATCACTTTAAAAGCAACTTTGAGAGTCGAAAATGGTTATAGAACAAACGTCCTCCCATAATGTTCCTTAGAATTTATCAAAAATGCAATTAAAATGTCGCAAATTAATTTTTTTGAAGCGAAATTTCATAATTTATGGGTACATTTATTAATCAGTTTTAAAGTTTTTTCAGCTTTCGCTGTTTTTTCTCAATTTTATAGCTACTTTGTGAGCCAGATATTGAGAATATTTCTTAGAATTTATAAAAAATTGCATTTGAATAGTTAAAATCAATCTTTTCAAGCTTTTTCTGTCTCTAATTGCTCATTTTTAGATCATCTTTGTGTGTAGAAAATCCACTATACAGCCCTATTTCCGCTCGAAAAAAAATTATTCTAGACTTAATTTAACATTCTTTTTGTTCATGTATTTCCTTGACGTATGGTTTTGCAATTCTCTAATTCCAATTTGTTGTGGTCATTTCAACGCTTTGCAGACGATACTACACTCATGGCAGATGAAAAGTAGAAAATGGCCTTTGAATGTCAAAATTCTCCTACTAATTTATGCCCATCTTCTGATCTTTAAGCATCACCTTGCAGCATGCCAAACTTGACCTACTCAAAGCTGGTTGCGATTTTTAGGACAAAATCCCAATAATTAGTTACCATTTCGAATGTGAAACCCACACACCGTAAATAGGCACTTTAGGCAATTTTAGCTTTGGTATTGCAGTTAAATGCATATGCACTTGCGTTTACACTAGCTGCATTCTCGACTTAATCGAAGCTTTCACTAACACACATAAATCGGCGATTTGCAATAGATTTTTATTACAATTATTTAGGATTTCTCAATTAACAAAGCGAATATTGTGATGAAACGTACCAATGAGTTGAAAAAGGCGTTTACAAGATATTTGAAAATTTGGGAAATTTTTACTGGTTGAAAAGTGAAAGGTTTTAGCAAATTCATATTTTTTAAATCAGTTGGGAACAAAAAATCTGGCTGCAAATATCCCGAAAACATGCTACTTCAATGTTTTTTTCATTCCGCCGAAAAAATTAACTGTTTTCCACTTCAGCTGGCTGTTTTGAGGCGCAAAAATGCCCACCAGCACAATTAATTTACCAATTGGAAAACCAGTTGATTAGATATTTGCTAAATATATGCGAACGATCGTAATAAACCTTTCTTCCTAATACAACGAATTTAAATGTAATTTCTTGTCTGTCTGGACCTGGAGTGGTTTAAACCCACAACTTCTTCATTTTTATCTCAACCACATTAACCTTTTATTTTTTATGATTTTTTTATACTCGTCCTATTGGCTCCTTCCAAAACGCGAAACATTTTGCCTAAGTATTAAAATTTATTTACCCACTTGTTTTCTAGACAACAAACACTTAAGTATGGCAATTAGCACACCTGAGATGCGCACTTGTACTTGTTAAATATTTCAATCTTTCGGTGGGCAAAATCGACAAACAAATATCGAATGGCCTCCTCGGACTTTCAACTTGCCAGCTTTTATATAAAGCAACACAGATGAAAAATTCTTGTCAAACAGTAGTGAATTAGCTGCGGTTGGAAGAGTTGCTGGCTTGTTGGTAACGTCGCGTCCATCAGCTTCGACCTACCTGGTGGATTACCTTGATTGAAATCGAGCGCGGAAAACTTTGTGTATGATTTTGAATGGAGTAATTCGGTGAAGAAAGTACGAAAGTGTTGAAATAGTACGAGCCGATGGTGGTTTTGTAACGTTTCTTCAAAAGAATGGTGATCTTATAGAAAACTTATTTCATATGTAAGTAGACAGTTCCAGCTATTTTCTTCAGATGCGAAGTCTGGTGTTGACTCAATTGCGGATTTTTTTTGCAAATGAAGTCATTCATCTTCGCCACTAGACGTTTCAGATGAATTGAGCTCCTCTGTATTGCTAGCGCCTTTTGAGCAAATGTTCTCCATAAATATTTATTCTAATTGCAAGGATTACTATTTTATCATTGGGGTTCCCGATGGAATTTCTCAACAAATTATTATTTTTAGCTTGTACTCCCAGGTGGAAGCAGTTGGGAACTAAAATATACAGTTTGTTAACATTCTTATGCTTATATTTTTTCTGTTGTTTGGGGTCGAAGCGAATTGGAGATTTACACTTTAACAGAATAATTTTGAAACAATTAATTAAAACATGATTAATTCCTAAGCGCAGAAATTGAAAATTGGAGTTTTCATAAAAACTTGCAAACAATAAAAAAAGGAAATTGGCAAGTCAACCCTCGACAAAGAGCTACAAAATACGCATTACATTTTTATTGAAAAAATTGAAGAAAACTTGGTACTTTTGCGCGACGGTTTTTGCGACTCCAAACGTATCTTTGTATGACTTTTCGGCTTAATTTTTGCAAGTTACATATAAAACACCTTCTAGAGTAAAAAAGGGACATATATATCTTATTTACAAAAATCGTTTTTTCTTCGAAATATATAAGAAAAATCAGTTTTTGCTTTAACTTCAATTTTGATTTTGATTTGAAATCTTCCAAAAATGCCAAGTACGAAATTCGATAAGTAGAATTTCTTCTTCATTTTCCTGGCAAAAAAATTCCAATTTTATCCTTACGTCCAATTTTCTGCGACTACTTCACTATTAAGCTTTAGAAGCAAAAAATTGTTATGATGAAACACATTGTTCAACGTGAAGAAATGATTCTTTGACTGAATTCGGTAAATTTTTTTAATAGTTTCAACTAAAAATGAAGTTCGATCCTTGCCATTTTCTACATCAGGTTTCTCTGAAAATCCTATTTCAAATTACTTGATCCAAGTCAAAGATTTTTGCAGATAAACTAACGCAAATGCGAAACTTGAAACAATCCCAGGTGCGCTTGCAATTTGCAATGCTCTTAGTAAAAGTGGTCCGTTATGAAATTAGCCGCATTAACTAAATTGATCAAATCTGTTGTATTTCGGTAAGAACGAAAGAGTATTGCGAAAGGCAAAAAAATGCCACACGCTCAAAAAGAAACCTTGAAACCATGCTTCAGTGGCTTGAAGATTGCTTGGCCCACATCAATATGTCGAGATATGGAAATATTTATAATTAATTTGAATCTTGATTGAGTGAAAACGTAGCACTTTTTTACCTTTTGGGGTTCATAGTGTTTTGAAACGATTAATCAAAGAAGCACAAGGTTTTTTTCAATGTTGCTCCCAAAATTTGTCTTGAAAGATCACTGAGTGTTGGTTTGAGAGAACTTTTTCGTGTTTGAGCAACATTTCTTTGCTTATGTATGAATTGAGTTATTTCGAAAGCTCAATATTCGACTTTGTACAGCAAACTTCCATCAACTTGTCTAAAAAGTTAGTCTTCCCTCTTCTCGTCTAAAGAGTTATTTTACTTTCAAATTCAAGTTAAACGTAAAAATGCCCTCATTCTTACGTTTTTTCTCTGATTATATTAATATCAATTTGGTAAATTTCCGAATATAATTTGTAATTATATGAAAGATGATGCGCTAATTCCTAATACAAAGGTTGAAGAGGAAACAACATTTCATTAGTAGAGAACAATCAATCAAGTAAATTTGAAAATAATTGCAATTTAGTAGTAGAAGCTCGAAAATAGCTTGATACAAAGGTTACTTCCCATTCAGTCGTTACAATTAAATATACACACAGACAGATGTTTGTACGTATCAGTTGGTGACTATAAATATATCCCTAATTTGCGACAATTAAATTTTAAAAAATCGCAATTCTGTACGGAAAATTCCCAAACGTTTTAAGCTTCCGTACGTGTTTGAGTTGCACTTTTTGTGCAAACTTAACTTAACAGTAAATTCTGCATGTAGCAAATATAACTTATCAAAGTAATCCTACATCTAAGCGAGACATTTTCTCCAATTAAAGGCTAAGAAATATTGTTTGAAGCAACAGCCATTTGCAGACATCCACTCTCTCTTTCGGATTATTAAGATGAAAGTTACGTGAATGGATGATTTAGTTACAAAAAAGTCGGCAATTTTTAGAAACTTTTTATCCTTTGAGCAGTTTTGCTTTGAATTTTTCCACAAAACTCACTCTCTAAGTATTAAATAAATCAACACTAATTGATAGTTTTTGTTGCAGACTACAGTTACTGATTCTCCGCCGATCAAAACCATCTTCAAGCAGAAATCGAGTCCAATGTTGAATTCATAAGAAGTACCGTATCATCAAAGATTTCGGCTATTTCTCACCATTCCTCTCAAGCCGGTTAGCAGTCGGTCAACCAACAAAATCAACTCCAAAATGACATACGTGGAAGAGAAACCATTCAAACCCCCATCGCCCGAACCGCCTTTCACTCAAAACTCTACTGTGTACAGGAGAAAAGAACCCAAATTGCTGAAATCAACCGCCGATATTATAGTGTTTATTTTGGTGTCTATTTTCTATATTTTGAAAGCGATTTACAAGTTTATTCTCCCGAGGCGTTATCGGCAACTCAAAGACTTAAAGGGAGAGATCGCTTTGGTGACGGGGGGAGGATCTGGAATTGGGAGGCTGTTGGCTTTACGTTTGGGGAAACTGGGAGTAAAAGTGGTGCTTTGGGATGTCAATGTAGAAGGTAAGTGAATGAATTTTTATCAACTCTGGCAGAGAAAGAAACAGTGAATCTAAATTGGCGTCTGCATATTTTTCAACCAATTAATTTCGATCATTATTCCTATGAAAAGGTTAATAGTTGTTTAAAAAGTTGCTGTTCACAATCCGGTCTATCAAGTCGGTTAATTTGCTAGTAATGCTAATTTTGGCTTTGCTGCGGGTTTTGCAAATTTGCATTATTTTCAAAGTTTCAAATATTCAGTCCGACTTTGTTTTAAATAATTTGACAAAATCTACTAAATTTGCAGCAAACCGCTCTGTTCTACAAAGAACTTTATACCTTTCATCACAGTTTCTTATATGTATGGGTCCAAATGAACGAAATTCGACCTTACTTCATGAACTAATTATTTCGGGTTTGTTTACCAAAATTCAAGGTTTTGCTCCGATTTTTTTAATGATTATTTGAACGTTTCCACGCAAACTCGACTAATTATTTAAGGCAATTAAGGGAACGATCTGCAAATGACATTGAGAGCGATGTTTATGCGTTTTCGCTCGATTTTACAATCATTTATGACGGCCATAAAAACTACTTAAGTAAATAATTGGCACAAATATACTTAGGAAAAATGCTACCGATAATGTATTTTTTTAGTAGGTAATATAAATGTTCGAGGAAATGATCCTCATATCCTTGCTGGCATGAACTTTGCAAGCGAATTGATTCTATTTGAATTGCTTTTTTTCGCAAAATCTACGAGAATCTAAAGGCAGTAAACTTGCAAGAATGTGAGCATAAATAGGAATTTGTATTATATTCACTCCTTTTAAACCGGTGATAATCGACGCTGTTGAGAAGCACACTTTGTAGGCAACACTCAGCTAAAATTTAGCTAAAATTCAAAATTGAGGGATTTTTGGTTTTACCATGACAAATTTTCCAAAAATCGGTGTTGTCCAATGACCAGTCGCTTCGATTTAGTATCCCAAAAAAACTCGCAAACATTTTCTATTAAAGTGTGCTTTTCCACACTTAAAGCAAACAAGCAAGTAGGTGTTTTTGCCAACGGCCAATCGCATCGCCTTAGTAACTGCAAAAATCCTGAAAACTCCCACAACTTTCCTATTAAAAGGAGTTTTTCTTCACTTAAAGCAGCGGATTTTCGCTTTCGAGTGATGTTATGGGCCGCAGACAGGAGTTCTGGATTTTCCTTGACGAATTTTTGAAAAATCCGTGTTATCCAACGACCAATCGCTTCGATTTAGTATCTAAAAACATCCTGAAAACTCCCAGGAATTTCCTATTATAGTGAGGGTTTCCTCATTTGAAACCGCAGATTTTCTTTTTCGAGTGATATTCTGGGCAGGCTTGAGAGATTTTTGGTTTTCGCTTAAAAATTGTTTATTAATCCGTCTATCTATACCAAGAGCCAATCGCCTCCCTTTAGCAACTGAAAACATAATGAAAACTCCCAGAAATTTCCTAATCAAGTGAGTTTTTCCTCACTTCAAGCAACCGATTTTCTCTTTCGAGTGATGTTAAAGGCCGCATGCAGCAGTTTTTGGTTTTTTCTTGGCAAATTTTTGAAAATACCGTGTTGTCAAACGATTAAGTAAGTAAGTAAAAAATGATGAAAACTCTCAGAAATTTCGGATTAAAAACTTTCCTCATTTAAAGCCGGAGATTTTCTCTATAGCGTGATTATTGAAATCGCAACAAATATAATTTGAAATAATACACTTTTTCTTTCTACCTTGCGCTTCTTCGGCACGTTTAATCTGAATTATTAATCAAGCGATTTTATGGCCAAAATTGCTAATTCTACTTCAAAATATGTTCGCCTTTAGATCAGTTTTATAATAAAAAGCGGCCTATAAATATACAGGGTGCGGAAAAATTTATCACTAGTCCAAAAGTGCCTGATTTATTTCAATATTTTTTGCGACGTATTATTTTTCATTCATACAACAATGCTCTCACTTTGATCATTTAATAACATAATTTATTACAATATTTAAGCACCTTTTTGCCTGCGATTATAACACCAAACATTATCTACAGTTAACAGACTGTGTCTCAGAAATCACCAGTTTTCCTCTTAAGGTCGGTTAGATTCTCATGTTTCATCCAGAATAATGTTGGCACAATTTTTTGGCACTCCCTATATAAGATAAAAATTTAAGCCGCCCTCATCGAACATAATTATTAACATACAGAACAGGAAATTTAATTATTTAAATAAACAGATAAAAAGTGACAAAACGTTCTTCCATGCTGCTACACTTTTATTTCTTTGGCTTTTTCATGTAGCGCGCATATCTTTCAATATTTCTGTTCACAAATCAGTGAAAACCACAAATTAAACAGACATAAGGCAATGTACAGCATTACCTCACAACGTTGTTAACACTGATCAATTAGCGCTTTCTTCTGATAGCAAACAATCGCTAGTTTGAGCGCTGATATGAATAACCTGCGATTTGTATTCATTACACAAAGCAAAGGAAACTATTGTTGAATGTTAATATTGTTGTTTTAGTGCGGAAATTAATTTGGCTACGTAATCTTGTCCATTGTTATTTTAGTCAGGTTTCTTTTTCATTCAGTATGGAAAGAGCAATTTTGCATTTATGAGTCCTGATCATGAACGCTTTCAAGTTGCGAACTGTTCGTGTAAATTAAATCTGGCGATCGAATCAAGGAACTAAAATCAGCAGCAATGAGTTATATAAAACGTAATGACCGCGTAAGTTTAAGTTCAAGATACAAGTTCAGAGAAAGTGGAGTAAAGAATGGCTCTTTTATGCGATGATTATATCAGAGTCCGTCTAGGATTCGGAGTGGACTTATCGTTGGCATCAATTATGAACTTTCTCAAATTTGCGCAAGTTCAGATTCAGATTTTATAGATGAGAGTGTGCACACTAACCAGCTTGAAGAAAGTTTGGTTTTCACAATTTTTCGTCGCAGGCAAATTTGAAGTTTTTCGCTCAAAAATTCATTCAAACTGAAAATGAACTGAAATGAGCCCTTGACTCGAAAATTGTTAAAGAATTTGGCCTTTAATTTGTATAGAAAAACCAGCAAACTACCTAAGGTCTATTTTTCGTGGTAGTCAAAGTATTTCCTCAATTGAGAAACAATCGTATTGAGTTGAATACAGAGAGTCTATCGGTTGACCTGCATGTTTTTCGGTGCTATTTCCTTTTTGAACAATAAACTTGAGCTTTAAATACATGGAAATTTTGCCATTTTCAGCTATAGATTCACCGACGTGCATGAATAGAACTGCATTATTCCTTATAAATCAGCTTAAAAACCTATAAGGTATTGCTAATGAAACCTGAGGTTCGGCATTGGTCCTTCAATAGATCCATTCATGGCGCAAAAACCTTTAATAACTGTTGACCATCTCCAGCCAATTATTAATTTGTATTTATTCGACTACGATAGTCATTAATATGCGCACGTGGTGCAAAATTGAAGATTCGTAAAGCATTTTTTTCTTTTTCTGTCTTGAGTTCGACGTATAAAATTGGCTGATTTTAACCATTATTTCAATATTGATTCGTTGATGTGAAACAAGAATTTCTAGATTTTATTATGTTTGATCGACGCAATCGAAAAATTTTTCAAACAGAGCGGAACTAGGTCGATGATCACAGTTTTACCGAAATTTTCGTGCTTTGTCCATTGACTATTACAATCGGCACAATGAAGTGAAAAGGGAATTTCGAGATTTCACTTAAGGCGGTCTAGTAAATAGCAATGTCGCAATTATTTCGTCCATTTATACGGCTTTTCATGAACATCTGCAGTTGAAAAACCTGGCTTTTTCTTCGTGTTTCAGCAATCTTTACATTTATTAAGCAACTCTGCTTGTAGGACTAGTCTTGAGAAAATTAGTCTTCTCATCTCATGACGGTTAAACCGGCTTGCGGATTTTGCTCTACTGGCTAGTGAGGGAAACTTGTTTCTCAGGTTTATACACTGCACAATAAAAAAACCTTGCTTTAATCAGAAATGTGTAAAGTTGGATGAATTGGATGCAAGCAGCTTAGTACATTGGAAAAGAACAAAAACTGGTTTACTTAGTTGATAATTCCATAATGGGAAAGCAAGCGAGAATTTTTCTATTAGTTGAAATTATTCAACTTTTAGTCATCAACAAGTTTTAGCAAACTGCCAACGGCACCACAACTGTTTATTCTAATCGAATGGCAAAATTTTTTCAAGGCAACTTTTTGGAAAGCTAAGGTTGGGGCTTAAGCCGATATCCAGTACCAATGTCCATCAAAAGCATTCCGATCAAAAACATCCAAATCAGTAGTGAGTTAAACAGACTCAAATTTGTGTAATTAACAGAAAAACTCGTTTTCGACAAGAACACATCTTATGGTAATCAACATCGAGAGCTCTATGTCAACATAGCTACTATGTGAAAACATTGGCTAAACATTGCTTAATGGTACATTGGCTGGCAGCAGACATAAAATAAAATACCTGCGAATTATAATAAATAATATTTAATTAACAGGCGCATTTTCAAAGGTTTCTTTGTTAATATGCAATATATGTGTTGTGGCAATAATTAATAAATTACTACCTAGTAGTTTACTTGCTTGTCCACCAACAATATAATTAAATAAGAAACAAACAAACAGCCTCAGTGTTTAATTTAAAAGAATATTAACTAGTGCCCACTTATGTATGTTACTAATTTTGACTCTGATGTAATCACCTATTTTATGAGCATCCAAACTGGAATGGATTATGGAAATGAGCCGAATTTCGGCAGTCACCTTGGATCATAATTTTTCTATAAAATATTAATTGCAAAAGTATTTTTTTATCAAGCCGTTGTTGTAGTGATGTCATTCCTAAAGACATCCATCGGATACATTCAGCATATTTAACAATTAACACCGAACGTATATGATACCTAACAGTATATCGCGCTGGTAATTGAAAAATAACGAAGAACGAAGGAACAAACATGTGCGCTAACTATGAATAATAATAAATAATTCCACAGAATAACGACATTCGGCCCAAATTCTGAAACACTTAAAACACCAAAAGCACGGGCAAACAAATACTTATGTAACTAATTAGACCGAAGAAACTTCAACTAATGTGTGCAATGGTGCAAGCCCATATTTATAGCCGAAAGTAGGTATTCGGAACGGTCCAGTTGTGACAACTTGTTTGCAATGTTTGTTTAACACGATTTAATACTCTTTTCCTATTCTTTGTTATGCATGCAAGGAGTTACAGCACTTGAAACCTCCTGCACTTGAAATTCCTGATTTCTGTTTCTTATTGCAGGAATTGAAGAAACTATCAGTTTAGTGGAAGGAATTGGAGGAACCGCATATGGTTATAAATGCGATCTGTCCAACAGAGACGATGTATACAGAGTAGCCAGGCAAACTAAGCTGGACATTGGAGAAGTATGAAACAAATTTAATTCAGAAAATATTTTATTAAAAAAATATATAACAACACAGAAACGTTTTCTTTGGTTTCTTTGATGTTTTTCGACCCTGGTTCTTACTGGTCCACTTCGGTTTTCTGGTATGTATATTCCTGCTCCAGATGAGAGGTCGTCTGTCCTTAGCTGCCCTTAAGCGCCTTAATTTTTTCCTTCGTGTTATTCAAAAATACTTCCGATTGTACGCGTCACTCTTGGAATAAACAGTAGAAATGATCTGCGCTGTTCCACTTCCTGAGGATTTTCTTGTTCCGAAAAGGTTTGCTTTAGCTGTTTTCTTGACCTCCATAGGGGAATATTCGCTCTAAAGAAACGCTTCCTCCAGATGGTTTAACTCGTTTTCCAGATATGGTGGATCACAGAACCATCTGGATCTGTTTGTGTAGGTCTTGATGATTTCTTGCTTTCGTCTTGAACGGTAGATGGAGAGTTGGTGGAAGCATCTGTTAGCTTGAGCGGCTTTATGTTATACCTTAAGATCCACACGATTTTATCTTCTGTATACGAAATATCCAAGAAAGCCAGTTTCTCCTTCTTCTGCATCACTGGTAAACTCTTTTACTGGATTTAGCCTGCTCAGATGGTCTAGAAACTTGTTTGTCGCGTTCATGTTTCCATATCAAAATAGTGTCATCCGCATACCGAAGCTCTGGGGTTTTCCATGACATTCGTCAGAGTTCTCCATCCCACATGGAAGATATTGAAAAAAGTTCATTATCGCACAAAAACGTGCAAAATGGGTAAAAACTTTCAAGTTTAATGGGAATGTTGCACTCTTGGCTTACTTTCAGCGAAAATGGTTCAGCATTTGAAGCATTTTAAGAAATATTTTTGAATCACACACAAAATACACACAGTTTTGACTGAAAAACGTAGAAAAAAAAATTAATATTACTGGTCATCTCCGCCACTATCTGAACCTACAAGAGTTGCATATGCAAAAAATTCATAAAAGAAATTTGGAGCAGAAATAAAATCCTCCTGCGGATTATAACAAGTGATTCAATGTTGTTTCAGGTCAGTCTTTTGATTAATAATGCCGGTGTGGCATCTGGATCTTTACTGTTGGACACACCCGATCATCTCATCAAAAGAACGTTCGATGTTAACATTATATCACACTTTTGGGTAAGTTTACAAACTCAATTTTAAGCCAGTCAAAATTACATACAAAACTAAATGTTGCGCCAAATTGTTTTTTTTTAATACTAAATCGTTTAGTGCCTACATAAAGTACCTAATAGTTAATGAGTTGTAATCGATATCTGCCAGTTATATAAATTAATGTTCATTAGACGAAGTCCACCGATTAAAAGTCCACACTATGAATTTTTATGATGTAGTTTTGCGTAAAAAAAACCATTTCTATTTCCGTACCAAATAACATAAGTACGCAATTCTATCACAGTTGATTTGCTAGAATATTTTTGCTAATAGGTGTAGTTGTGCGTCTAACGTTTCGTCTGCAACTGCGCCAGTTAACATCAAATCAATCTCAATTCCTGAGTAGAAACCAAAAGCCATTAAACGCAGTTGGAGTGTCCTCGATTTCAACTATTGGAAACTTAATTAATTTCCGTCCTTTTGATGATCAGTGATGAAGCAAACTAACTTAATTAACCAACGAGTCAATTGGTTAGTCTTTGACTGGCGGAAATCGACTAGATTCAGACCTTGTGGTATGAACAACAATTTTTTTTTGTTGTAGACAGTGAAAGCTTTTCTACCGGCAATGATCAAGAACGAACACGGTCATATTGTGACGGTGGCATCGATGGCTGGTCATGTGGGAATCAACAAATTGGTCGATTATTGCTCATCGAAATTCGCTGCAGTCGGTTTTGATGAAGCTTTAAGGGTGGAGTTGGAGGCCCAAGGTAAAATCATCACCTCTACACCTTTCTCACCATAAAACACTAGCAGGAAAAGGCCTCTAAATGAGCTTCATATTGCCGTCTTCTATTCCATATAAGGTTTTTTCCAGGTGTAAAAGGAGTGATGACAACAGCAATATGCCCATACTTCATATCCGCTACGGGAATGTTCGATTCAGTAGATTCCAGATTTATGCCCAGGTTGAATTCAAACGATGTAGCTGATCGCATTATTGAGGGCATCCGCGGAAATGAAACAATGGTGATTATACCAGGCGTGATGAGAATTGGTCTGATGCTTAAACCGTAAGAACTCCATAGAATGATGCGATTTAGTGCCTGTTTCTATTTCTACGCCATTTCTAGACTGTTTCCCTGGACAGTTCTTTCGCTATTTCTTCGAGGATTGGTGCCAGATGCCGCTCCATATCCAGCATCAGTAACCAAGATAACCGGGAAAGAAGAAGATGCAGACTCAGAGGAGGAGTTGAAGAACCTGAGCAGGAATAAACTAAATAGTGTTTCGGATACTGTGTCACAACTAACCCGGCGTTATTCACCAACAACAAAAAATTTGTGATCGCGCTTGTACAGTGTAATATTTTATAATATATTCTATACGATTATTGTAGCGTAGATTGATATTAATTCGATAAAGGTTACTGAATTGTTATGGTGGTGTTGATGGCTGGAAAGCGAGATCAAAGTTATCTCACAGTTAAATTTGCTCAAATGGCAATTTGACTTCAAATTAAGCAAAAATGTTAATTTTCAATTACCCCCGGTTAGGTCCGTTCCCCAGTCGTGCACAGGGGTTCAGAAATTAAAAAAAATGCAACCATTTTTTGCTCAAATTTTGCCTAATTAATCCTTTTTYGCTTTATTTTTTTTGCTCAAAGTTGCTTGAATACTTTATTGWCCTATTTTCATTTTYGAARYCGATTGTGTTATTTCTAGTAWTAATTCTAAACCAATAATCGCCCTTTTGGAGACCTTTGGGTCCAAAGCGTYGGGGTTAATAACAAGGAAGAAATCGTCGGTTAAAGGTCGTGAACGCTCAAAAAACACTTAAAATGTGCCGAAAATGTCTATTATTTCATAATTAGTTAAATGCATCCCTCAGATAAAAATGATGAACAATTTACGACATTTTAAAAAAAATTCATTTTTTCAAAAAATCGACCCCCACCCTTAGAAAAATTTCGACGAAAAATCGAAATTTTACATGCGTGTTTTTTGAGCTCAATCGATTCCTTTCGACGTAAGAACGTCACAAACATGCATTTATAAAGCGTTTGGGTCAATAATAAGGAAGAAATCGTCGGTTAAAGATCGTGAACGCTCAAAAAACGCTTAAAATGTGCSGAAAATGTCTATTATTTCGGATCTGAGACTTCTAGCATGTTTTTCAATGAGTTAAATGCAWCCCCCAGATARAAATGATGTAYAATTTAAGACATTTTRAAAAAATWWTMATTTTTYCAAAAAATCGACCCCCACCCTTWGAAAAATTTCGGCCAAAAATCGAAATTTTACATGCGTGTTTTTTKAGCTCAATCGATTCCTTTCGACGTAAGAACGTCACAAATATGCATTTATAAAGCGTTTGGRTCMATAATMAGGAAGAAATCGTCGGTTAAARATCGTGAACGCTCAAAAAAYGCTTAAAATGTGCCGAAAATGTCTATTATTTCGGATCTGAAACTTCTGATGCATTCCTCGCGTCCGTAACATGAAAGTGATGTAAAATTTAGGGCATTTTGAGACAATTTTAATTGTTTCAAAAAATCGAATCAAATTCTACGCACAACTTMTTYCTTCTCTCTTTCTTATAAATCGCATTCGGTTTCGAAAAAAAATTGTTGTTTAGGATTTTTTTTYGATTCATTCGGTCTTTCCAGAAMAATRGCAAACTCTGATCGAATCAATTTCTACACCAAAATATTTTTACATTTTTCACTTATGAGTCATTAACAGTATCCACYTTGGTCAGCTGCTTTTTTTGTATGTTAATAGTGTTCCATAAGACGCGGGATTTTCGAATATGGTAAATTCTGATGAGACATGGAAACCCGTATGAAAGTCCAAGTAAAATTTTACTTTATTTTTCAATTAGAACATTTTTCTCACTGAACGCGCATTACATTTAGCATATTTTTGCTTTTCAAATGAAATTTGACCCAAAACTTTGATTGCCGCTTTCAATATTATAAACACCTGAGTTTCCTAGAAAGCTTTTTCTATTAAGAACGTTTTTGTTTCTTGGTAAGATTCCATTAAACGCGACATTTGCGAAACAAGTAACAAATTGTTTTCGATAGCAAATTGAAAATTGAATGAAATTCAAAGGAAATCCTTTGTTGTTTGTCAATTTAAAAAAATTAGTTCTTTAGAAATTGTACTAAAATTAGAGGATAATATAATATCGAATGCAAATTGGGACTCAATTTTAATTTGATTGAAAAGATCAATAGTTCTTCAGCAAATCTACAAAAGTTACAACATCTTTGTTTATTGGCTTTTTCGTTAATCGAGACGTTTTTCGGAAAAATTGAAAACTATAATTGAGATTCGAATTGCAGATAAAAGATTGAGAGGATAATTTCAATAAAAATATATTTTGAAGGATCTGTGGCCATGGTTTGTTGCATTTATGAAAGGGAGCAATTTGAGCCTGTTACCAAAAAAAATTATACTCATGCATATAAATGTTAATTTAATAGAAAATTTAAATCTTGCAAAGAAAAATTATTAGATAGGGCATATACTGGGTGTTTGCTGTATTCGACATAGTAAATCAATCACATATTTCAAAAATCGCCTTTATTAGCCAGCCAATACAATACTTAGGGCGATGTCAAAAAAGTGAGCTTCTCATTCAATTGCAGCTGAGTCTTGATGAGCTGCGACAGTGAAATAACCATTAGCAAGTCCTTCACATTGCTGTTAAACATTTCGGAAAACTGGTCGGATGTCATATGAGGCACAGAGTTGATCAAATGTAAAAGACTGCGGCCGACTTCGTTATTGGGAGGCTGGCGATCAGCTAAAACATCTTCCACATAGGCCAAGACTTGATCCAACAATGCGCTCATTTTGTGTCCAGCTTCTGCCACATGGGCCAAGTCCATTTCGGGGTTTACGCTTCTTGGTCGGCCTGTCCCTCCAATGGTCTTCTGGCACAGTTGCAAGCCAACAACTTCCGGATCATAGCATTGGATCTCTACTGGAATGGATGTAAACATGCAGCCTTGTTTGCCATTTGGCACGCCGAAGTTGACACACACGTAAGCCTTCAGGCCCATACGGCTGCCCTGCAAACTCGTATCGAGAGTAAGGTGAACGGGGTTCACACATTCTCTGGAATAGTAGTCATGGATGACGGAGCTGTGATTAGTAACTTCATGGCCCGTAGCCCACCATCCTACGATAGATTCGCTGGAGTTTACTCTACGATTCAGTTCGTATACATCCATAGCATAGGCCAGTTCAGCTTCCACTTGGTCATCATACTCCTTATGGGGCACACAGAAACAGTTCGTTACCTCCACAATTCCTTTGTCTGAAGTCCCCAGCAAAGTGCCAATTACTCGATAGGAATCGGCGTTCCGTCTTTCGTATGCATCCACTATCTGGAATAACACTACTGGATGCACTTTTACTTGCAAATTCAACATTGTAAGGAAATGGCTTTGGGCCTCTGTCAACAATCAACGTGTGTGTCTTGGATGTGAAAAGTGTGGTTATAGCCACCACAGATCACAGAGGTTACTCTGTGATCTGTGGACTGAACTGAATGCAAGCTTTCCGATAAAACTCATGCAAAATTTATTTATTTACATATGCATATATATAATAGAAAATTTATATTAAAGTGGTTTTGCTTAAATTTATATTTTTTCGCAAATAATTTTCCCTATCAAACGTAGCAACGTGGCACAAATAAATAAAAAATCACCGGCAAAATGTCAATGCATTTAAGGTTAGAAAATTTTAAAATAAACTTATGTTTATCTAAATATTTAAATAAGATTAGAAGCCCTATTCAGGCCACTACTTGCCTTCATCTATGGTTCAGCCCAATTCAGGCGAGCTCAGTTTGTCAGATCGAAATGATGAAAACAGTGCAACGAGGCGCCCTAATAGTGATCGAAGGAGTGGACCGTTCAGGCAAATCTACACAATGTAAAAAGCTCGTGGAGTCTCTCATCAGCCAGAATATTAAGGCACAATTGATGAATTTCCCGGACAGGAGCAACTTGACCGGCAAATTAATCAACGAATATTTAATTAATTCAGATTGCAAGTTAAATGATCGTGCCATTCACTTGCTGTTCTCCGCCAATCGGTGGGAAAATGTTGAAAAGATGAATACTCTTCTTTATGGGGGTACGACATTGGTTGTTGACCGATATTCCTACTCAGGGATTGCTTTTTCTGCAGCCAAAGGTGGTGAGTATACTCTAGTGTATAAGAATGGTCTGGTTTAAAACCAGAAAAAGGTAAACCTAAGATTAGTGCTTGTTTAAAGTTGTTCAAGAAAGAATCAAAGTAACCTGGAAACGTAGAACTATTTGCCATTTGGGAACGTCTAATCCATTTCCAGAAGGACATTACTTTTTGGTACTAATCCAAACTTAGGCTCAATTTTCTGCGAAAAAAATATCGAGACGTTTGTATTCACCGCAGGAATGGACATGAATTGGCTGAAGCAAGCAGAAAATGGCCTACCCAAGCCAGATTTGGTCTTCCTGCTAACTTTAAACCATGAAGAGGCAGCGAAACGTGTGGGATTTGGCGAGGAGCGATATGAAAATGAAGCGATGCAAAAGAAAGTGTCGAACATATTTTCGCAGCTGGCTAAAGAAGAGGACAACTGGCGAGTAATCGAAGCCAGTGATAGTATAGAATCTCTTCAAGCTATTCTCCTGGGACATACACTGGATGTTATCGCCAGAGTAGCAAAGCAAGAACTAAAAAGTTTACACTTTCAAACATAGCATTTATACTGTAGGATTTATATGTATTATACAACGGCTAGTAAAAGACTGATGAATTGCAGCAGTTGATAAATGCAATAACTAACCACCGGCCCTCCAAGTAGCTACGGTATTGGCTAAAAATCCCACCCCATTGATAATAGACAAAATTCCTTTAGCTAGCCCGTAGTGCTTCCAATCGGATTCAGCGTATTGTCGGAAAAAGTCAATGTGCAAGATGCCCGCAGTGGAAAACAGGAGCCAACCTACCAGGGAAAAGAACACATCAAGCGTCCTATTAATGGGCATCTCAATTAGGTATCCTAAAAAATTTCATCATCAGACAGGACATTTACTGCGATTTCTTGTCCTCTGCACTTACCTATTAAACTTCCAGTGGTTATAATCAAAAATCCGCCATACGCTGTTATAGCCAGGGAATCTGAGTAGAAACTCAACGCTTGACTTTTGTAGTGGAACCCGAAACATATAGCGGCAAGGCTCTGAAAAAGTTCATTCATTAGGCTTTTTTGCCTTAAATTGGGCAAAACTTACCAATTCGAAGCACTTGAATAAAGCCAGCTTATTCACTTCAATCATTTTGTTAACTAACTAAAAATTTGCTTGCTGCTCCGAAGAGTACTAAAATGCGATACTAAAATTTCCGTATAAACAAATTATTTACTTGGGCAAAGCTGTTAACACCCGAAATTGCCATCATGTAACTAGTGCTGTTTACCAATGTTCAGCTTGCATTGGCTGGAAGCAACCTACATCCAACCATAGTTTTCAATTGAGGTAAAACAGTTCAATAGAAAAGTAGTAGGCATTAAGGTCTAGTGTATTTTAGAAAAATATCTGTTGATACAGGGTGGGGTAAGATTAGAGTTAACAAATGGGTGAATGTGCTAAAATACTGAACAGGTCTGGAGCGATTTTTTAAATGTATTATTTCAATTTGCATACGCAGGATTGTTACTTACTTAATCCAGATAGGAAAAGGTGTGTTTTTCCATTATATTAAAGTGGTGGTTTAAATAGAATACTATTTTATTATTAAAATTCACAACGATAGCATGCAAATAAAATTTCAAGTATTACAAACTTAAAAAAGTGGAAACATTACATCTGTAAAAAATATCATTAAATGCCCTTTTATCATTTGATAAACTCTTATAAATAGGTGTAAATTTTACGTATAAAAATAAGTTATTCAATATAATGCACGACCTGGAAGGAATAACCTGCAGGATTTATGTATGGAATTTGAATTATTCATAGACCAAGAAGACATATGAGTATGGTTTAATCATATCCGTTTTCAAAAATATATGGCTGGCTATTATTCGAATATGGGGCGAATATATCAGACTATTATAACTATCGTTAATAGCTGTTTGGCCATAAATCACAAGTCAATGAAATCCCTACTGTAATAGAAAAACATCGAAGTTCTGTTCTAAACTGCCTGATAATTCGGTAACTGTAATGTTTGTAAGGCATTTTCCTGAGTTATTAGTATATTTTTTTTTAACAAACTAACAGTAATTGTTTGTGGCGGTATGCAACATTGAAAGCTTTGAGGTATTCATAAATTAGAGTTCTATAAAAAAGTATTTTTTACTCAACCTTGATATAATACATTAGGTTCTAACTGCTGTAAGATGTCATGGCTTAAGGCAAATACGTAGAACGACAGATACGCACAATACTCAGACTTAACATTTAGAAATCACCACGCCAAGAGATGAGGGCATCGAATAAGAAGAAGACGCCGTTAATAACAGCCATTGACCCTTTGGCTAGTCCATAATCTCTGGTTTCGCCTTTCCAGCCGTTTTCGAAATGTTTGATATTCAATGCTCCTGCTGCAACGAACATCGCGCATCCCACCAAGCTGTAGAAGATGTCGATTCTCTTACTGATCGGGGCACTGATTATGTACGCTGAAATGGGTTTATTTCAATTTTGAGTGGATAAAACATTGATGTTTTTATTTGAAAAATTATGCAATGTTTCATTGATCTTCACCTGCGAATCCACCAACTAAAATAATAATGAAACCACCAAAAGCTACAGCGGACAGCGTGTCGATGTTCCAGTCAGTAGTTTGGCTTTTGTAGTGAAGACCCAGGCAGATGACTGCAATTAGCTGAAAAAAAAAAGAAGAAAATATTACTTGTGGTTTCAGTATTCAGTTCTGCTTCACAATGTGGGCTTGACCATTTAAAAGATTTATTCAGAAAGTGTCTATTTATGATGTAGAATGCTACAGAAGTGTATATTCTGTGTTTAATTAATTTATTCTCGTGAGAAATTTTTGTTTTGCTGTAACTTAGGAGTATTGAAGAACGCGCTTACAAATTTTTCTAAGTTTTACCACCATTTGAGCGGAAATTTAGCTTTGGGTGCGCTCCATCAAAATGCTATTGCCGACTAATCAGAGATTTCCAATTGTATCCGAGATTTGGTTAAAATATTTGAAGAACATATTTTTTGAGCTAAAAAAGCTCGAAAGATTGGAACATTTGCACTCTCAGGGATGATTTGGAATGTTACAAACGGGTCCAAAAAACTGTTGGCGCTAATTGTAACATTTGTTTGTAAGCGTTCAATATTTTATTATTATTAAGACGAAGCTTTTTTAGCGCAATGTTTTATAAAAACGTGTACTTCATTTTTTTCAAGTGGAAAATAACTTCAATATTTTGCCTAGAAAAATAAACAAAAAATGGTCATGATTATCACCAAATAATCGTCAGAGTTTTGCCGAAAATAGTAAACACAGACAAAATATAAACTGCTCAACAAAGTAATCGTTGTACGGACAAATTTGGACTAATCTTGGAACTGGATAAATTCTGATTGCTGCAAGCGAATTGATTTCTGTTTGAAGCGTTATTTAGTGCAATTATTTTTCAGTTAGTGCGTGTTTTTTGTAAAAAATTAGTGTTTCAGATAAAGTTTCTACAGAGTGGCAAATAAAACAGTACATAATTGGTGAAAGTTCCAGATCCTCTAAGTGGTCTCAAAAAGTTCAACGTTTTCGTCTTGCAGTGATTTTTTTCTTTTCCCACTACACTTTAGTTTAGTGTGCTAGAACTACAGATTTCGGAAGGAATTCTGATTTGGATTATTTTTCATGCAACCCTGTATATCGAAGTTTTGTCTTCCATCGTCTACTAAGTTTTAGCTTCAACATGAGCTGATTATCGTGAAAATCGATCCAAGAGCAGAACATTGGAAGACCAAAAAGTGGATTTTTGGACCACCATGTAAATAAAGGATATGGCGGAAAAATTGAAAACCCGTTTCGAGCTATTTGATTTACCTTTAAACTTTTGGCGTTCATATAAAAGAATCCTCATTTTTTTCAACTAGCAGCAGCAACTTTCGGCAATTTTGCATTTTTTCATTTGCCACCCTGTAGAAAATTTACCACAAGATGGGCTAAAAGAACATAAGTGGGGCTCAATAACGCTTTAAACAGCAACCAAATCGCTTGAAGCAATCAGCATTTACCTACTTTCAAAGTTAGGGCAAATTTGGCTTTTAAAGTTCATTTTGTTGAGCGGTTTATTTTCGTCGTTTTAATCAAACACTTTATAATGCAACAGTAAAATAATCCCGTTGTGGACGGGGTTAAATTGTTCCCGACGTTTAGCAAGCACGAGTTGCTTTCATCTTCAGAGGTGGTGCTGCTCCGAGGAAACCATCACTGAAGATGCAAGCCACTCGTACTAGCGAAACATCGGGAACAAACTATTTTCCACCACGATTGGCGATTTAAGCAATGGCCTCGATAGCTTGACTCTTTTATGTTTTAAAATGGTTTGAAAAACTCCTGAGTATCATTTGAGAGTGAAACATTAAGTTCGTAACATATAATTGTATAAAAAACATTTCTGCAATTCTAAAGACAATTTATTCAGTTTTTTCTTTATAAACGGGAGCAATATTGTCAAAATTTACAAACATCATAATTATATCGTTCAAATTATTAAAATTTGATAAGAATTACAATTATTTCCTGTATGGCAAACCCAACAACCGCAAAGTTAAGGCTTCTAACTAATACGTTCTTAACACTTTTCCCATACTTGGATAGGCGTGATAACTTTGAGGTCAAAAGGCGCATTTCATATCATTTTAAACGCATTCAATAGTTGGTTTATACAGGGGGTTTACAATAACTCATATGCCGTGAATTATAATTTAGAATGTTAAACAGTACAACAGCAACAACAAAACAACTGAATTTAGAAAATATGAAGACGTAAACAATTTTACCAGGAAAACAAGGTTTTAAAGGACTACGTTTTCCTCATACATTTTTTTTAAAATCCTATTAGTCACTGCTGATAAAGTTCTCCCAATTTCCCAAGCCCTATTTATATTAATAAAACCTTTAATACTGATAATATTGACGCAAACTTTGTTAATTTTATTAACAAATAAACATTCGGTTCATGTACAACTTTTCAGTTGATAATGAACAGTACTCATATCTATTTTCGTCTTAGTAAATTCAATCATTCTCGAAAATAAGTTACTAAATTGGATAATCACTTAGTGCGAAAAGCTCGTTTACACAATAATGTTTCATCTTTTATTTTTGGCAGTTTTATGATCGACTGAATACAAAATCTCAATACATGTTATCATTTCACAACGTCGGTAAAAATAAACGTTGTCAATTTAAATTGAACAATTATGCTAAATGTGCCTGTTATTGTGGACAATGATTGAACAATTGATCAGATTATACACACATTGTGGAAAACGGGACTTAATAATTACGGGGAAATAGTTTCTTCATTGTTTGTAGTTAGGGAAAAGTTGCATTCAAAGCATTGGTTTGGAATAAGAAATTGTGGGTCATTAACGACCTTTTTTAAAAACTGAATATTTATTGAAAATTATTCACATGAACTTTTATGTAGCTGTTTCCAAAGCCAATTTTTCCCATCATTATCAAATTGCACCGCTTATTAAGCTCGCATAATCCATTTTTTTTTTCATCCATCCATTTGCTATTTTTAAACACTTCCATCGAACGCATCTCATGGCAACAGTTGATAAATATTATTTTATTCTTCAAAGTGTAAAACGCAGATACGTTTTAATGCCACTGTTACACACTGCGTGTTGTTCAAATTAAATACCAATTGCAATTAAACAAACGCAATAATTATTTTTAGATTTAATTAATGCATCAAGTTGCCATCGAGAAAATGACTCCAATGTGCTCAATTTTCCTAAAAATACTCACCAGTTCCAGGAATTTAATGATGGACAGTCGACTGATGGCCATTTTTGCTAGTTTGCAACGAAAAACACTTGTTTTGTATGAAAATATGAGCACGAGGAGTGCACTTCTAGACTTCTTTCCACAGAATTGATTTTCACTATGAGACTGAATGCGCGAGTAACATTGGCGCCCAAACTCGTTTTTCTTTTTGTTGTGATGCTATCCACGAACATGTAATCTGCCACAGGAACGGATTTATGATTAAAAATATAATAACGAAAATACAGAGCGTGACAATCAATATAATTGTATCATTTATATATTTTTTTATTTATTTATTGAAATTCTAAAAACCATCTCAAAGAGTAGCTTTTTATCTTTTGCCGTTGTCAAACGTTTGTTCTGCTTTTTTAACCGTATCCGTTTCATCAATCAGTTTTTTGCACTTTTCTGCTCAAATATTAAATTGCTTCCGACCTGCTTTCTGTTGCATTTTGAAGCCAAGTCGATTGTTTACACCCTTAAAGTTTCGGATTATCGCCATCATCAGACCCTGCAACTAATTTTCAATTGTTTTTATTGCCTTTGCAACTTTGTATTTAAAAATTAGTCCTTCGATATCCAGCAAAGCTACCACTCATCCCATTGTTCCCCTTTATGGAAAAAGTCGCGTCTCGGACGACTGATAAAGTAAAATTTTCTGCTTTGGAAAAAAAGTTTTGGTGATTTTTTAAAAAAAATTGTACAGCTGCCTGTTAAAAATTAATTTCTGCACATCTATAAAAATCGATTGTCGAAAGTCTAAAATAACTTTTCCCATCTTCAAGCAATTAGCAACATATTTTCAAAATTTCGTCATTTGTCAAGCAGTTTCTTGCAATTCCTGTTCAAAATCTAGTCGGTTGTCATTAAAAAACACGCTCTCCACTTCATTTTCACGTCTTTGTCTTTTATATTCAGTTTCCTAAATCTTTTTCTAAAACAGTTTCGGTTTTTCGCCATCACAAAACCGTTTGCATGGTATTTTTATGCGAAGTCAAAGTTTGCTGGAGAATCAATCGATCGGCGCTATGCAAAAAGATCAAGTCTTGAAAACCTGAGAGTTTCGATTTTTTGCCATCATCAGATATATTGCAGTGCCGATTTTTCAGTTACATTTTTTCGGTTTCCCGTTCGTAGTTAGCGTGAAGTTTCGACATTCGCTATCATAAAACATTTTGTGAACAATTTTTTAGCGCTGCCTATTTTTCGGATTTGGATTTTTGCTGTTTTTCGTTCAAAACTTAGTTTGTCAATATTAAAAGAACCTAGACCCCCCTAGTTGTTGCCTTTTATGAAGGAAAGATGGTTGTTTGAACTCTTAAAGTTTCAATTTTTTGCAACTTTGCAACATATTTTTAAAGTTTCTCTACTTTCCAAGCAATTGTTTGCTCAAATATACGTTTTACGTCAGCTAGAAACGAAACAAACTTACGTTGTTGCCCTTTTTGGAACAAAGCCGGGTTTCGAGTGCCAAAACTTTTTTTGTTCAACTAGCTTAGAATAAATTTTTACATTTTGTCAATTTAGAATTTTCACATTAAATTTCCGGTTTGTCGCATTTTATGAAGAAAATTCGATCGTTCAAACCATGTTTCAAATTTCCACAGTCATTTTTACTCGCAACTTTTGTTATCATCAAAAAATAGCCGAGTTAGAAGTTCTTTAAAGTCTGTATGAATTTTATTAAAAATGTGTAACCTTTAGAAAAGTGGGAACCAAATATAAAATTTAAATACAAACTCTAAAAGATCTTTTTTTCTTATGAGCACATTTTATTCAAATCTGAAGAATCTGTTTGCAGAAAAACCAGAATTTATACTGTTTTGATAACCTTTTCAATGGAGCGTCTCTAGAAATATTTTTTTGTCAATTTTAAGCAAAACTTGCAATTTTTAAAGCACACTCAAACGCTTATTTGTTGAAAACCGTTGAAATTTCAAGAAAAGTTCACACATTTAACCATTATTCTTTATAACTAATTTGTTTTTACTCGCTCAGTGTTTTACTCTTGCATGCAAAACGGACGTTAAAGGCGAAAGTGTAAAATGTTTGTATCAATCAATTGCTTGTATTTTTTCTCTCTATGCACTCAGAAATACATAGTTTGTGCGGCGCTTTCTAACGGAAATTCGTTCGAAATATCTTGCATTCTTCATATAACAACTGAATCTGAAGAAGAACTAGAACTAATTTGTTTGCTTATATTTCTACCTGAATTTGTAAGCTTTCGAATTTGAAGGATATACTTTGTATATACAGAGTGTCCAGAAATTAATATGCAATACTTTAATGCCAAAAATGAGCCTCTCATTGAAACATAAATCGCATGTTCTTCATTCTATATAGCCCCGATTTTAACTTGAAATACACAATTAGCAGCTTTCCGCCAAAAAAGCGAAACTGAAAATAACTCAGATGATCCCTTTGTTATAGACGAAAAATAGTATTTGGAAATGTAGAGCATGCACCTAAAAGTGCAATTGTAGACCAAATTCCGGCCACCTTGTATATACTATACACAATAGGAATGACTACAAGCTGCAAGGAAATAAATGGAAAAGTGGTTAGTCCGGTCCATTCTTGACTCCATTAAAGGTGTAGACCGTGGCATAGTTTGATGATGTCACCGTTATATATGTGAAACAGTGTTGTGTATGGAGTATTTTCACGGTTTCGGACTATATCGTGACCGTGATGATGTCATAAAAGGATCATAGATGAACACACCACCACAGTCATTTCAATTTAATTTATAATGTTTATTTTTATATCATTATGTTGATTTTGTATGAGTATTTTGACGCTCAACCTCCCACTGTTAACATTAGAACGTTTGTTGTACTTTCGAGATTATCTTCCTGTTTAAGTTTGCTTAGGCACTTTGGTGTTAGCCAGATAATGTAGAAAACATTACTTGAACAACTGACTCACTGTGAAAAAGCTGATTATCAGCGAAACCTTGATTTTTGTTAAAGTTCGGGTCAAACACCTGGAATCAACCGTCGAACATGAGCTGGTCTCATGTACATTGATTGCACTTAATGACGATTTCAGCAAATAGAAGCGAAACGTCGAATAAAATGCTTAACGAGTGCAAACCAGTCAAGAAAAAGTTGAACATCCCCTACCGACGTAACTTGTCCGCTCATTAATATGCAAGAAGCTTTTGCCGCCGTTATTCGCCAGGTAGAAGTTAATATGGAAACAATAATATTTTATATATGAAAAGGTAAAGTATTCATGGTCACAAGAGTTTTAAATCGCCTTTCAAACCGCTACCTTAACTCAGTTTTGTTCGAACTTCAAATCGTAGTGCATTAAAAAAATAGTTGATCTGATTGATCCGCTACTATTAGCCGAGTGCTAAGTTGGCGTGCCAGATGCGAATTAAAGTGAAGGTGTTACTGGTTGAACAGCTAAAATTAGCATCTCTGGAAGGTATTACATTTTTATTTAGTGTGGAAGAAACTGTTAAAAATAGAGAAAATGCGACTGCAACAACATTCATTTCAACAGCCGGTTGTTGATTTGAAGGTTTTGGCTGTCGATCTGGTTCTGGGCCAAAAAACGTATGAGGAAATTTTTTTGTCTGCAAACAATAGCGTGTTTTTGAGGCATTCGCAGATGTGGAAAGTCACTCTGAGACTTACAATTTTTTAATCGGGGCGGAACTTTTATATCAAATTTTATTAAACCCTGTTCAATTTTGTCTTGTCTTGCTATTTTGGAAGCTGCAAATATTTTCTCCAACCAGTTTCTTTTGTCCATCAATTTCCAATGCTTTGCCCCCAAAACACGCCCCCTGTTTCAGTTACAACGTTTACCCATGCCGAATTTAATGTTTTATTGTATTTTTTGTGCGTGCTTTTGCAGTTCAGTAAAGCGCATCAAATTCCGCTTTCAACTCGCGTTTTTAAAGTAAACCAATTCAGACGCGTCCTAAGAGTGTCTAGCAAAGCACAATCAATCACACACACACATTGAAAGGAAATAAAGTTTACTTAAGAATTTACGATCAACATGAAGGTTTTAACTTTTTAATTTCTCACATAGAGGGGATACAAAAATGATACTCTATGAATATATTAAACGGAATAAATACATTTTTCTCTATTCGAATTTGAAACTTTTACATTCGGTTAATTAAAAGTAACTACAATTTATAGAAACTTTTCAATCTCACCTCGTTTCAATATTCAAAGCTCGCATATAGTTAATTTCATTGTGAAATATTTGACTCAAAAAACAGGTGGAAAATTCACAAATTTTAAACAACTGGTGATTTTTGCTGGGCAAATTTTTGTTGCACCACCACTCAAAAGCCCGAAAAACTTACCAGTTTCAATTATTGGCGGCGTAACTTTGTTCTTTTGAACGCGAAAGGACCTATTGCGGAAAAAATGTCTTGAGCGAGATATTCTTACCGGAAACGATTCGTTTCTTCACAGTTTGAAGTTGCAAAAAAATACTTTGCTGGAAATGATTGCGCAACATTTAAATCGTCAGTTCAATTTTTTAAGCCCAAAAAACAGAAAACGTCGAATTGAAACAACAAAGTCTATTCGGTCACGGAATTACGCTTGAGAGAATATTAGAGATTAATTATTAAGTATGTACTTATTTCCTGATGGGCCTTATGAAGTCAGTGGCTTAAAAATGCTGTGTCCGAAAATGGTGATCCATCATCTTAAGGGTTGTAAAATTTTGATCATTCAGACTATATATTAAAATTGTATTTTTGTTGAAAAAAACAAAATTTTTGTATAAATTTGGCCTAAAGCCTCTAAGTCGTAAAGCCAAGCCCATTTTTACCTGAGGCTTAACAATGATAAATCATAAAAACAAACCCAATCAAGGTGACTAAATTCAGCATCATGATATAATTGCAGAGAATGACTCCTTGACCTGATTTACTTCAGATAGTTCACTTACAAGCTAGTTTATACCCTACAATATGATTGATAGCGGTAAAGGAGCTGAAATTACAAGTAAAAACTACTTAGGCATTTTATAATACACGTAATTTATAAAATTTATAAAGTAGATACTTGGACAAATGAACAGAAAAGTTGTTTAAATCTAAACCGAATGCTCATTCGAGATTTTATATCACGCGAAATTTCATTTAACGTATTTCTTATCCAATTCTTCGTGATATAGA